CTCAATAATAAGGTTTGTTTTTGGGTTCTCAATTGTGAAAAGTTTTTCCACTGGAAAAAATGCGCATGCAATCTCCCTTTACTTAGCTCCTGAGAAGGAAGCCATGGAAGCTGAGGAAGAAGCTGAGAGCTTGGGGCTTCTCTTGAGTTGAAGTTCTGAGGCTGCAAAGCAAAAGGATTGTTGAGAACAATTACAAAGCACCTGAGAAAGGAAGCTGAATACTACAATCAATTACAAAAGGAATCCTCACAGGAATCCAGAATTGTTTTGGTGGTAGTTTATTATAGAGGAACCCCTAATTGTTTGAGGGGGGGGGGACCCCCCTTTACTAATCAGGATCGAACATTAACAATGTTTGCTAGGAACAAGAAGCTATTAGGGGCGCAGAGCTCACTTGGAGATGATCCCGGAGGAGGAGCTCCCACGTCGCACGGGGAAAGGTAGTGACTCCAAACACAGGTTCATGAGCGGATCGATACTCTTTGGAGGGTCCGCAAATCGATAGAAACGACATCAAACATGTACTATCTACGTTGGGTCGCTAATTGTGTTTAGTCTGAGACTTTGACTGAGACTCTGACTTAACTTCCAATGGTGAGACCACCCGCATTCACATGACCCATCATGACCCTATATCCCCCGCAGATTTGGAAAATGATCTGACTCAAGCGTCCCATCCCCTCGGACGAAGATCACCCCGGAGAAGGAGCTGATTCCCTTACATAACTATATAATATATATATATATATAAGTAGGCGCCTACTTAATTTAGTAAGGAGGCAAGGCCACGGGCTTTAAACAAATTGGATTAATTATGTGGATTGAGTGCAAAAACGAATGGAAGGGCACTACACCGGTTTGTGGAAACATCTCTTCCACAAGCTCCATGCGCAGTGGTGACCAATCAATAAACTAACACGCAATACTTTCAAGTAATCGTCCTTGCAGGAGTCTGCAGCCGACCGGACTTGTGTATATGTTTTACCGCTTGACACTGCTCAGGCTGTCAACTTGACAAATTCATACCCATGTTTTCAAAAGGTTGTGCATATGGGAGGGTTGAATGTCTAGGTTCCACCCCTCTGGATTGAAGTATTTGCTTTGGTCGGGGCTGCCCCAGCTTGAGGGGTTGCTTGTCTCCGCTGACGTGAGCGTGAACCATCTGCGCCACTCACTTACCCATTCCCTGAACTCGCTCTCTGCTTCACTGATTTTCCGGTCACTCACTCAAAAAATCACATACATACTACTTACCGACCCATGCACTCACGCAACGGAAGAATTGAATGTCTGGGCACTGCGCCGCTGGAACAAGCGGTTTTCTGCTTGGTTTAGTTGAGAAATTGGACTCATGAGAAACCTGGTTAAAGCGAAGCCTACCAGCGGAGCTTACCCAGATCTCTCGAGATCTAAATCCGAGCATCCACGTGAGCCAGGTCCACGAAACCGGCCAACCAGAGGCCCATGGTGATGCCAAAACACGTCGAAGAACCGAACCTGCGACGACACCGGGACTTGGAGCCTCACACCGAACCGAACCGTCGTTTCGTCCTAAAAAAGTAGCGTCCTTGCTCCTAGTAGTAAGGCCAGGAGCCCCTAGTAGCATCATGTAGCGTCCTTGCTACCATGAGGGAAAGCCGGAGTAAATGCACTGCGTCACAGAAAACGAGATATCTCCGTCGAAGTAAAACGGGTCGGAGATATCTTGTCTTTCTGGTATGGAAAGTCAGCCACAGAAAGGACCCATTGGGGTCGACACCAGGGCTGGAAGTGCCAAAACCAACCTCTGAGGTTTGAAGATGAATGTTGGGGAGGGAGGAATCCATCCAACACAAAGCCTTTGATGTATATATTTGGTCGGATATGTCTCACACAACGCGTTCGACCAATCGAAAGGGTGACGCACTTTGGGTTCGATTCTTCAGGCATAAATTCAGTGAACTAAGCAGTGGTGTCGGCTTGTGTAAAAGTGTCTTTACAATTTCTGCACATAACTGTGCGCGGTGCTTGCCTGAACAACAGCTGCACATGCACCCAAACCTACCTCGTTTTTGTTCACCTATCATGGCTTTGGTGCGCTTGTCTCTGGGCTGCAGTTCATGATTTCCCCCCTTCTCCTGTGAAAATATCAATCCAACAACTTTGGGAAAACCGGGTCAAGTGCTCAAGTAGCAGTTTAAATAATTGCCAATTACAACACTATGATGGTGAGCGTTATCACCTAACTACTGTACATTGTACAAAATCACCCTGCAGCAAGGGGTCTTGAAGGGGGTAAGAATTGAAATCCGTTTTATGGCTTTTTGGAAGTGCGGGGACACGGTGAACTACCCCGCGTCGTCCAGTGCTGAGCTTTGAACGATGGGCACGAGCATGGGCTTGACCATTGAAGAAGACTATTTATCAAACTCCCATCAAAACATAATATCATATAACGAGACGAAGCACCAGCCAATAATCACTTCGAAGCCCCCATCAACAAAAACTGTAAGTATCCTTGTCCGATTGAACTGTCGGAGGTGGACAATTCCAAGGTCACCCAGAAATCTACACTCAGAAAGTCTCGTCGGATTCCGTGCAATTCCGTGGGCGAATGTAAAAAACGTCAGACGACTGAAATGTTGAAAACACGAAAGTTGTGAAGAGGTCAGAATACGTCAGCATAGTATATATGTTGTATAAATCAATATGGAGGATTATCATCACTGTTTTGGGTGGAGTCCTAATTACCATTCATTGGCAGCGCTGTTCACAGTCATTACAGCGCTTCGGGCCAAGGGGCATTCCGCTTTGCTGGGAGGTCAACTCACCGTGTTGCGTCATGGAGACCAAAAGCATGGAGTAGTGGTTTGCATAGCCAGTACCTTAACGCGTTCGGCGAACGCTTTCGGCGAGCAGCGAATTGTGGAACAAACAGGCATCTTTGAGATCACCATGGCCCACAGTTTCAAATTAGGCCAAGATCCTGCTTTTGCCAGCTCCTTCTTGGTTTTGAACGCAAGCAAAAACATGGCTGTAGTTATCGGGTTCATGCCGGGATGCGCCAATGAATTTGCTTGAGAACTTTGTGTCCCTTTCCAAGACTTGTATTCCACGGGTTGATAGCCAGGGGTCCACCTTCCACACCAACAAAGTGGACTCGACTTGACTTATATAATTGGTTTGAAAGGATTCGGACAAGGGATGCTCGGATGCTCATTGAGCGTCCCAGCCACAGTTGAAAACGTAGAACAGTGATGCCAAAACGCAAGGGTGGGGGTGCAATTAAGGGACGCATGCGTTTGAGCCTGCAGGCCTGCAACTGTTCCCACGTGCGCACTGCCAAGCTGCCCATGAACCAAATACCGAGGAACATGAGGACATAGCCTGAGATCCGCAGCCATGTCCCCGCAGAGGAATCACCATACCACACGTGCTCCAATCCCACCCCAAACGCGTCCAAAAACTTCTCCTTGTGGTGGACCCGATTGATTGTCACCTTCTCAATCAAAAACATCTCTCTCCTTTATTATGTATTTAATATACTTAAAACATGGGACTGACTGCACTTTGGGTACAAAGTTCGGGGACACCTTCAATATCCAGGCTGCCAGAGCTTGCATCACTGGCAGAGTTTCTCGCATTACTCAGCATCCAGGAGGACACGAGGACCGAGATGCTGCCCAAAAGCACCTCAGTGTGTCAGGGAACGAGAAGCCCCATGGTTGAGTCACCCCGATCTTGGCCAACCCACTCCACCCTCACAACCCATCACTTCCGCCAGACGCAAGTCAATGTGTGACAGCATGAGCGACCACGTCGTGTCCAAGGGACAAAAATCAAGCTGCAATGCACCAAGGCAGAGGCCAAAACCCTCTTGGCCAGCCAGGTGTTGGCCATGCGAGGCAACATGCTCGCTAAGTAGAAGCCTCAGTCCCCGCCAAACAAATCCCAAACACAAATAACGACCTGCTACCCGTGACTGATGTGAAGAATCTGTCAGAAACATCAGAAACCGCATGTTATGTCTGCGAGACTGGTAAACGAGAGACTCTCGGGGGCGGCCTGTCATTGCAGTAGTTTTATACCTGTTCTCCGCGAAAACCACAACTGGCAACCTCGAAAGCCAACCACTTTGTAGTGGAATGACGTGGAATGGTAGTCTTTCACCATTGTCTGGTGGCAAATTCTCTATACTGCATCAGTCGGCCTTTTCTGCATCAGTCGGTATGATCTGATCCATACCCAAAAAGAAAAGAACTTCCCAGGAGCCACTAGGAACAAGAAGCTACTAGGGGCTCCTGGCCTTACTACTTGGAGCAAGGACGCTACTAGGGACTCCTGGCATCAACAAGAAGCTACTACACTGTGACCACGAAATCGACCCATCACAAAGTGGACCACTTTGGAATTGACATCCACGCCACGTGGGCCTTTCGGTCGCAACGCAACGAGAACTCCCAGTGGAGATCCAAGGAACTGGAAGGGACCAAAGCCGCCCACTCCTCTGAGAAGCCCAGCCTCTGGCAGGGTGCTGGTGTGGAAGCTTGACCGGCTTGACCATTTGGACTGAGATGTTTGGAGTATCTAAACATGAAACAGTATTAAGGAACAGTATTAAGGAGATGTTTCATTTACAATAGCTTGTTATTGCCTCTGATTGGGCCAGGAAGACATTTCACCATGTACAGTAAGCAAAGTCGATGACACAGCATTGAAGCAAGGCGTCTTGGCTGTGGGTTGAAGCAACCCATCCGGGATGAACGGTTACGGATCACGTTTCACCTGTTCACTAGGAGTTCGCACCTGAATATGTCTTAAGCGTTTAAGCGGGACCCTCCATGAGATGTATACCGAGTTTTCTGGACCTTGAGGCTGGCACAAGTAATCGTTCCTGCTGTTCAAAGGCGTTGTTATGACTGGTACTTGTGTTTGTTTGCGTGTTGAATGTAGAAGAGTGTCATAGTGTCATCGCGTTGACGGTGACACCTGCTCGTTAAGATGGCCATGAGGCTGGCTTCTCAAACATCCTTCAGGGACCTGGCTCCGTCAAGCATTTTGAGCTGTAGAGGCACATACAGGCAAAACTGGATAAAGATTCTGTACTTGCTCGTCCCTCTCAGTAGATTGTCGATAAGACAGGACAGAGCAAACAAACGCAAGATGGGTGTGTTTGGTATGGAAACCAAATACCAAGCAACCGATGAAAACAATGCTGGAACATGGGGCATGATCAATTCGTAGGTATTTCGTTCTCGGCCCAAAGGCAAACCAATACCACCGCACAGCCTCACGTCTGTGCGCGTCTGCATGCGGAATCCGTTCGCCTCTTGGTGGTATAGGCGAAACCCCAAGCACTGATGCTCGTCGAACCGATCTGCGAGATGAACGCGAAGGTCAGCCCTTGCATGCAGCGAGGGGTGGGTGAGTGTTGGGCAGCAGTTGCATACTGTGCAAAGAAGAGGTCACAGTCACAGTATGCAACGTTCAAAGCAAATGTCGGGTTCATTCGAATTACTAGGGTTTGTTCTCATGACATGATGTTTTATCGGGCAAGCAGTCAACATGGAAAGCCAGAAAACCTGAGTCTGACACATCGTGCTTTGGACTTACTTTGCTACTATTTCATGCCCGCCTTGTGAAGTCTACAACAACAACCACAGGTTGTTTGCTACAACCAGGGAGAGCGGGCGCAGGTCAAGAAATCTTAGCCCAGCCCAAGACCCCGTGAATGACACAAACAACATGGTAGGAGTGCCTGTAGGAGCAGGGAAGAAGAACTTTGAGTGGCAACTTACAGTGTTTTTATGTGTTGTGTGAGTTGTTTCATTTCCGTGGTTCTTGACAAATTGTTCAGTTCAACTTTGCGGTGTCTGCAGCAGAGGGGGTGTCTTTAGCACCGTACAAAAAGACCCTTTTGTGAGTCTTTTGAACTGCCCCATCTTCCAACGCGTCTGCGCATGTAGATTTATGTTTCATCTTAATCGAATGTCGTTAACCCCCATCCAACCCACATCTATACGTCGTTGATAATGTTGAGCAACCAACGACAACGAAAAGTGTGCAAAAAATTGCAAAACCTCCAAATTTCACTTTGCAGAGTTAACGCATGTTAACGCTCTCCCGTGTGGCCCTGCGGGTACTTTTCTCTTTCACGCCTCATAGAATGTGCAAAAAGTGGCAACAGTCGCGTGCTCCGACAGGCGCTCCCACTAAAAACATAACATCTGCCACTCTCACGAGCCTTATGACTCCGTGGGTCAAAACTGTGAACTGGACCGATCCACACCCCCAAACATCCAAAATGTTGTCTCTCCTTGCCAGGTGACATTACAAAATCATGCAGTGTTAACTCAGGCCTTTCACCTCACACAAGCCATACAAAAACCATAGTTAGCAACACATGTTCGTACTCATTGGTTCCAACAATATAGGACCGGATAACCCCACATGTTAGCAACTTCACCAGACACAGGAGCGGACAATAAGGTGGTTGGTGGTTGGTGGTTGGTGGTTGGTGGTTGGTGGTGGTTGGTGGTTGGTGGTGGTTGGTTGGTGGTTGGTGGCTGTTGGTTGGTGGTTGCTGGTTGGTGGTGGTTGGAGAGCACCAAGTGCTAGCACAGCAGCGGCGACCCACAAGCACCAGGGCGACGCCAGGGCGTACATCCGACCCCTGGAGAGCACCAAGTGCTGCGCCTGCCACGCATCACAGCACCTGCCACAACGGCACAGCGCCGGAGACCCAGCCGCGCCAGGGCCTACATCCGACCCTCTGGAGTGCACCAAGTGCTGCGCCTAGGCAGGTGCTGTGATTTGCGTGGCAGGCACAGCACTTGGTGCACTCCAGGGGGTCGGATCGGCCCTGGCGTCGCTGGGGCTCCGCCGCTGTGCCGCTGTGATTTGCGTGGCAGGCGTTGTGACTTGCGACGCAAATCACAGCGGCACAGCGGCGGAGACCCAGCCGCGTCAGGGCGTACATCCGACCCCCTGGAGTGCACCAAGTGCTGCGCCTGCCACGGTTGGTGGCAATTGGTTGGTAGCAATTGGTTGGTGGCAGTTGGCAGGTGGCAGTTTGGTGGGGGAGGAGCAAGGAGGAGGAGGAGGAGGAGGAGGAAGGAGCGGATACCATACTAAAAACAAAAAAAACACACATCAATGTGGGGAAAAAGAGTCGCGTCGTGCCGGTCGTTGGCACGCCGCACCCTGAAAAAGGGACCGCCCCCACCGCCTGCACGCAGCACCTTTGGCGGCACCGGCTGGGCCACCTGAACCGGCTGGGCGTGTCCGGGACGTCTCGAGACATCTACTAGTAGCTTCTTTCTTGCTACTAGTAGTAATGCCAGGAGCTACTAGTAGCGTCCTTGCTCCTTGTAGTAATGCCCTTTGCTACTAGTAGCTTCTTGTAGTAATGCCCTTGTTACTAGTAGCGATGCCCTTGTTACTAACTGGGGTCACTTGCCGGGCATTTTATAGTGTCAAATGATACACTTGTTATGTTATAGAGGACGTGTGTGTTGTTTTTTTGAAATGAAAACACACAGGACATCGAGGCTGGTGCGACGATAGTAGGGAATGACGAAAGGTGGCTGGATTGAGAGGGATCTCAATTGGGGGCCCATTCCCTCATTCCCTGCTAGGCACCAGTCTGCAAGTGAAACAAAGTGAAACGAAACCATTTAGGACATGGTCTTTTCTTTCAGTCCTGTACTCCTGTACGTTCCACTTGCATGCTCGCTTTTGGGCAGATGTTCATCATTGGTGGTGTGGCGAAGAGTTTCTTTTGAGACAAAATCCAAAGTGTTCACCAAGATGACATGCATCTTTTCACAAAATGCTTTCTTTTTGTGCGATACTGTGTGCAAGGTCTGTAGCAATAAAATGCCCTGGGATTGTATGAATGGAGCCTAGTGGCAGGTGACAGCCCACATCTTGATATTGAACAGCTTACAGTAATATTGAATAGATTATATAACTAAGTCAGAATGCCATACAGGTATATCAAAACCCACCCCCTGCACTGCTTCTCCTCACATTGCACCATTTGGGTTTTTACTAACACCCAACTCTTTGCATTAGCTCGTTGTCTCATTGCCGGGAAGAGGTCCAGGCAGTGATGCCATTGGCATTCTTGCCAGTCTCATCGAAAAATGTTCCAGGAACCAGAAAACGCGAGCCAACTTGCAACCATCTACGCAATCTATGTGCTTTACTAGCAGTAGACAAAATGATCTCAACAAACAATATCAGTACTAGCAGCTTTACTAGCATGTACAGTATTCGTTTTGAAAGTGCCCCCTTCAGCAAAAAGAAAATGCATTGATCACATCATATCACATCCATTGAGTCCATTCTTTTTGCTTGTTGAGACAGCACAAAGGAGGTCATCAAACCACGACGATCTGCTACCAAAAATCCATAAAGATCCTGGCACCCTAGCACACTGTCAATCAACCAGGGTGCTCCTCTATTTTAGACCCATCAAGCGGAATCCATCGCCTCATCCATGGAGTTGCCGCCTCGGCCGGTCGCAGCCTTCTCGCCGTTGGTAGCGCCACTACCGTTGGTGCCGCCGTTGGCACCGCCGTTGGATCCGGGGTTCCGAATCTTCTGCTTCCAATCCGTGGGCTTTCCTCGCTGAAGTCGGAACAGATTCGTTGGCAGTGGGATTGACGGAGCTCAAATATCTGCAACATGGTGCAAAACACTCTTCAAAAGGAACAATTCACATGAAATTCATTTCAAAACATGTAAGGTGCAATTGTGAGAGGTCCTAGTATGATACGCCGACTCTTTTGTGGGAATGGGACTCCGCATATTCATAATCACTATGTTCTTAGAAGACCCTAACCGGGGTGGTAACCCACCGTGGGCAACTGGAGAACTCTTGCAAAAGCTGACGAACTGAAATGTTGCTTTCTCAGCAACAAATTAAATGATTCCATGGCATTTGCGACTTGGGGCTTGTGAAAACCTCAGCTGAACTATTCAATTATCCTCAAGTTGAGAATTTTACAGTTATACAATATGAAATAATATGAAGCAATCCTCATGAAGCGTTTCCTCCTATCGTTTTAAGATATGTTTCATATTGTGCACTCCTGGAATCTTCATGGAAGTGGAAAATGGCTCTTGGATGACAATTCTCCTCTACACCACATGGCACGGCTCGATCCCGCTCTGTTAGCCCCCCCTTGATTGTTAATCGGGTAGGAAACAGAAAATTGCATTATGTGAAAGATAACGTGCTACGTACCTCATCACACTAAACAGGTTTTGAACCAAAGATAACCAAAGTGTCAATGTGAAAAAACTGATATGACAATATGCAAACCATTTTGCTCTACAAACAGGTGGCTGTCCAAGTCCATGATGATTCCAGGGAGTGTATCAATTATGTTTACCAGGCCGTGGCTGCGTGTAAGAAGAGCCAGAATGAACCATCTGATTGCAAGTCGAGTTGCAGCCTTGCAAGAAAAAGTGACATATCTCGCCTGGATTGACAGTTCTCTCACCTTTCTACCTATATGTTCAGCACCCCATCACACCCGCTTCAACGGTGGCGCCCTGCGTCCGACCACTCGCTCGCCCAAGTGGCCCAGACAAGCGCGTCTCCGCACCACCACGGCAGCCATGAGCAAATCCACGGTGGCCAAAACGTCCCAGGAATAGCGATGGACCAAAATGGCGATATAAGGCGCCACCATCCCACCGATCCCTCGGGATGAGATGGTTGGGCCGGACGCGGATGGAACATGGAACGAAAAGCGGAAAGAACAAACGGCATGATTTTGAGATTTGTGGAGTTCGACTCATCTGCTCTGCAAACAGCGTTGCTTTGTAGGTTAAACAGGGAGAATAGCCCTACAAAGCAACGGGAGAAAATCAGTGACAGCTGCTGGGACTTCTTTGGTCACTGGAAGCCTGAAGCCTCTTGTGTAGAGGCCAGGCCAAGAGTGGTGGATCAGAATTGGGAAGTGTTTGCGAACCAGTGGATATCGTTCCAGTGGTTATCGTCATCCCACGCAATCCATGTGAGTCTAGCTACTGTATGGACATGAGGACATGAATGACTACGTACCCTCCCAGAGTGATGCGGGGCGTGGGGGGGCAAAAAGCCATCGAGAGTGGGAATCGTTGCTCTAACCAGCGATGTTTCTCACTTCACACTTTACACCTTCACACCTTGGCAAGGTGAACGTTATTGTTGTTTGAATGCAAGTAACGTTACCTGAGCAACATGTGCAATGTGAACGCAATCACCGTCCAGCTGATCTTTTCCACTCCAGAGTATTGTTCTCACCCTACTTAGCCAGGCACGGCCGCCAGCGCTTAGAAAAGCCCAAGGACGACTCTCCCAAATCGGCCGAGAAAAATGGCTCGCTCCCAGTCGTCTAAGATGGCAGAAAAGCCAGTGCGAAAGAGGGAAACCAGACGGCAAACATGTCTTGCAGCCACATCAAAGCTAAAGATTGAGTTGTAAAGGAAAAGAATCTTCCACTCTTTCAGCTCACGTTCCAAAGCAAAACTGGGCCGTGGCCAGAAAACACCCACCTGATACAGTAGTTTTCCAAAGCCACCTAAATCGGCCAAACCTGGAATCGAAAGGGCAGTCGAGGGCAGTCTTGTGGCTCTTTTCACTTCCACCTTGATGTTTGGGAAACGCCAGCGGCTCATGCACTGCAACGCACTCCCACACCACCAAACAAAGGGCCCTATAGGGCTAATGGTTTCCTGCCACTATTGATCTCTATATCATGTGTTGTTTCACCACCAGTTGATACCAAGCTTTCCCTTTACCTTTGTTGCTTCCTCGTGAAACATCCTCCTGGATCGTCCGTTTCAAGCCCGGTCGTCCGTCGTCTGCTCTGGCGTAAAGCAAAGGTGCCATAGCAAAGGTCGTACTTGGCGAGCTCAGCGCCACTCCGCGCCTTCAATAAGCGGCCCACCAACATGATGTTGAAGGTATCCTTGGACAGTGGATAGTGGATTCCAGGATCAGTTGTCAGGGTGCCATAATGGTTGAAAGTCCTGGTTCAGTCCCAGAATAGGGAAGCCAGGAGTTTCAAAAAACAAGAAGAATGGATTTGGTGGATAGTAAAATGCGGAAACCAGGGCTTGAGAAGAACAAGCTGAGTACAACAGGGCTGAGAAAAAATCATATGGACATTTGACATTGGTCTTTCACACCGATACCAGGTGCAGAGTCTGCGTAACTGCTTCATACTGCTTCTACGTTTGTCTAATCCAAAATGAAAATTGCAAAATGAACATCATAACCCGGAAGTCCTTAGGAACCACATTGCACCACCACATTGCACCATGTCACCCCCTATGAGAATTGACCGGTGTCCCAGAGGTAAGACCCACGTGTGCCCTGTAGATATCGATGAGAGATGATGCTTTGGTTCTGACACATCACCAATGACCATGAGAAACTCCGTCCCCCACTTTCTAAAAAGTCTCAGAAGTGACTGAAGGATGGCACATGGCGGATATGATATGGACAGTTCTGTCTATTCATCCAGCTTACCCATCCTCACGTTTCTCTGCCGTCGCCCGCAACACCGGTGCTAACCTGGAACTGGGCCAGTGACAGGGCATGGCATTGGCCCCATCAAGAACCCCATAGACACGCATGCAGCATGCTTCGAATCCAAACCACTTTTGTGTGAAGATAATTTATGCTTTCCAGGATGAATCTTGTTTCACAACACGGAAGTTGGATTTGCTCAGGGCCCGGGCCCAGTGACACAAAAGCTGCTGGGACCTCAATTAACGCGCAGTTTTGAAGAATGCATTGGTTCTCTAAAGAATCTCCTTCATCCCATATACTGGCTGCTGTGGGAGATTAAGTGGAAGCCCAGTTTGATCGCCCAAATGATCACACCCATCATATGGCCCCCGTTTCCATGACGAAAAGACCCACATCAAAGCTCCATATGCCAAGCCAAAAGTCCAAGACAGCCATCGCAGCGCCCACCCCAAAGAAGGCCAAGCAAAGCGACCAGGCTTGGTCCAATCCTCGGCCGAAGGGAGATGACCAGTGCCCAACCCAGTTCAAGGAAGATTTATAGACTCAGACTTGTGAAATCTTATGGACCTACTGAAATGTGAGAGAGAGAGAAAGAAAGAGAGAGTTATAGATTAGGTAAGTGATGACTTGGGGCATGAGTTTGAACTTTCTATCTATGCAGCTAGGACTTTGCAAGTACAGTACTTCCAATTCTGTCCGACCAAAACTTGTCGGGATGTATGGACTGCGTAGCACCTGCTTGCTGAGAACTGAGTTTGTTTCTAAACCTCTCCATTTCTGGTAATCCTTGCGTAACTGCAACAAACCGGTTCCTCAAAACAGGTCCCACATCAATCCAAACGGACAGGACTTCACCCACCCTGCCACTTCCCCACCTGCCCGTCTCTATCATCTCTGACATCGCTTCAACACTGGCCAGAGCCTTCCCCCTCACGGCACGAGGCTCGCGGGATCATAACGATACAAAGCGCCTTGAAACCCAGAACGGTGCCGAAGCCATACTGCGACTCACCGCTCCAGATCCTCCGTCGGCTCGACAAAGCCCCGACAGGGAAGGGAGACACCCGGTGCCCAGGAAGACCGGAGAGGTCGCCAAGTTTTTAGAAAGCCTTTGAGTTCCCACCAGCTTTGGGGTGTCGGACCAACAAAAATAACATATACAGTTATATAGCAAGTTGTGTTTATGCTTAATTTTGCATTGCGGGCCAGGTGGCCTGTTCAGACATGTTTGGGTGTCCCTCCATCTGCAATCTCTGGAGTTTGTCTGCTGCTCAAGGCCTGATCTAAACAACCTGAATTTTAAAAAATCCTAATGACAAAACCCTGACCTTTGATTCAATCGGCTAGTCACCTGATTGATTCTGGTTGTGCACCCAAACCCTGCATGCCAACTTCCATCGAGCATGCTGAAAATGCATAGATATAATATAGTAATATAGATATATACCAACACCTGGAGCCTGGAATGCGTATCTAACATGATCAACATGCATTGAATTGGGGTGCATTCTTTTTGATCCATCCTCTCACTCAGAGTGTGGTTTCTCCTTTAAATCCCCTCGCCTCAACTCGTCCCACGATCACTTTTCCCATCCACTTCCAAGCTTCAACTTGCCCAAGACCTTTGACATCACCTCAGATGCCAAGAAATGCCCTGTTGCAAAGAGCCATGTCGCCACACGGCTTAGTTACCAACCTGGAGCATTGAATATGACATGCTGCAGCACTCCCTTGTTGCTTGACTTGTTGTCGGAAGAGCTTCTAATAGTTGCCAATCAAACCAAGATGAGGCCCCCTGAATCTCTCCAAGGACAAATATCCCAGAGCGCGAACCGTTTTGGGGTCCCGCAAATCCTTATGACCGTCTTGAAATCTAGGTGACCCAGGTCAAGCCTGAGGCCGTCCTCACACAATCACAAAGATGCATGCAAGGTGGTGGATGAGGGCACCCAAGTGCTTTTTCAGCCTTACCAAATATTTGTGGGTTTACTGTGTATGGCCTCTGCATCCGGGGTCAACCGTATATAAGCCTTAGCTGGCGATCTTTGGGTTTTCATGGAGGAATATTGGTAGAAGAGTCTCAACCTAAAACACTTGATACTGGGGTACACCCACAACACTGCACTCAGGGGATCAAACAGAAAGCAACACAAGTGAGAACCCAAAGAGTCAATGTTGTTAGTTGTTCACAGCACACCTTTTGCCGCACACCCTTTGCCGCACACCCTTGCCACACCCCCTTTTCAAGGAACTTGGGGAAAAGTAAGGATTTTGAAGCACAGTTGGGAAGATACAGAATTGCAAGGAACTATGGGAAGATTGAGAACTATTAAAAGGAAATGTGGGAAGATGTCTAAAAGGTTTCAAGAAACTTTGGGAAGAGCAAGGATTTGAAGGGTGTGAAAGGAACATGAAAGGAACTCTGCACAGTGTTTTACTACAAATTGCCATTCCACTTCACTAACAGATCCAACATGTTCAAGCCACTCCAAATCAGCTTCTCTATAAGTTCTATGACATTCTATGACTATGACCTAGGACCTAGGATGATCTAATTTAAAAGTGACCGCTCCACAGAATGCAAGGTACCCTGACTATAAAATGGTCCAGGAATTGATGCGAATGCACGGCATTTCAGAGTACCCTGTTCACCCGGTATGTAAATTCACCACTACTCACCACTCCCCCACTCTCCTCCAAAAACCGATCAAACGGTCCGTCACTCCCTCACTCCCCTTCCGTTCCAAGTCACTAGAGGTCCCAAGATCATCCCAACACCTCTGGAGAAGGCCATGAGACTCTGCGGCACCTGCGTCCGTTCTGCCACATACAGCGTCGCAGTGCCCGCAATGCCCACCTAACGCGGACGCTCTTTCTCCGCTCGCGGACGCGGAACAACGCGTCTGTTTTCAGTCGTGGTGGGTGCGGTTTCCGAACACACTGCTTGGATCTTTTTTTTTGGCAGGCAAACCCGGTTTGGAAACAACTGTCTGGTGCCTCTCTGTTGAGAGATCTGGATGCTGGTAGCTTCACTCCAGGAAAAAATGCAAGTGGAAGTCATCTCACACTCAAAAAGTAAGGGAAACTTACGTACTTATCACCCTTGGTGGGTCCAGCTCTGGGGGTGTCGGTATGGACTAACCCAACAGGGGGAACTTACTGACCACGGTTGTGCACCACTTGCTAAGTTGATTCAAGCCTAACCCTTCCTTCAGAACGTCTGCCATGAGAGCAGAAGAGTTTTTTTCTGTTATATATGTAATTTCTATCTGAAATGGGGCTATCACAACAACGTAACGCAGCGGTCACAACTGTCAACCGATACTATCATATATATATATATAGAGAGAGAGAGAGAGAGATAGATAGATAGGCATATATCGGTCGCAGCTGTCCGGCGAAGTACAGTCCCAACAAATTCAAGAGGTCACCTTGAAGACTTGCCCTTCAACTCATCCAGTGGGTGACATATATGCCAATGTGGATCATTCTTCGCCATGGAATTCCCTCACCTATATAGTTTTTTTGAGGTTGCTCCATGGGTTCTATGGAGACTGATCCTAAATGCAGTCTTTCCCTGGCCAAGATGCGGTCACTCCTCTGACCAGGTTCCTTGAGACAGAGATGATGAGCAACACAACCCAGCTACCATCTCACACCTAATTACCAGGTCAAGGAGTTGATGGTCATCTGTTGTGAACATCTTCAAAGGAAGTTTAGTGTGCAAAACTTCCGTGTTACGGACATTCAACAGCTGTTCAACCACCACTCATCATACACCACTCATCATACACCACTCATCATACACCA